CCCGGCCCCCACCCCCGCCGTCGGCACTCACAGGCCGCCCGAACACCACGGCTCCGGGGTGCAGGTAGACCTCGACCACGTCGCTCTCGGGCACCACCTGCACCCGCTGCACCTCGCCCTTGGCCAGCATCTCGTGCACGAAGTCGTTCCAGGAGATGTTGCCGCCCCCGGAGCTGAGCGCGTTGAGCAGGCTCATGACCACGGCCACCACCAGCAGGGTGCGCAGCCGCTCGCGGTACATCTGGTCCTCGCGCTCCTTGCGCCGCCGCCCCTCTGCCGCAGAGCCCGCGTCAGCCGCCTCCCGCCAGGGCCGGGCCGGCCGGTCCTGGACGCCCCTTCCCTCCCCGCTCTGCCCAGGGGCAGCCCCAGGCCCCTGCTCTGCGATCCCCTTGAGGAGCCTGGGCAAGGCTGCTTGGGGTCCGCCGCTCAGGGTTCACAGGCGCAGCGCAGGGCGGGGCGGGCGCCCACCGGGCAGCGGCCAGCACACCTACACGCTCTCCCCCACCTCACCCCAGCCCCCAGAGCAATGGCGAGAGCTGGCCTCCGGGAGGCCTCGGCTCCCACAGCAGCCCGCTGTGGGCAGTGGGGCAGGAGTCAGGGTGCGCAGAGGGGCCTGGCCAGGCGGCCCTGCACGCCCTGCCCCAGCGCACGGGGGCCAGGTGTGCGCCTCGGCATTGCTGGGCGTGACCGAGGCTGGGGCCGCACCTTCATCGTCGTCGGGGGCGCCCCCCCGGGGCTTGTCGCCGTCCTTCGTCTTCTGCCTTGTCCTAGAGGTGCTGAAATAGTAGGTGCCACCTGCAAAGGGCAGGGAAGTGCTGAGGGCCGGTCTGCAGCCGCGGGTCGGTCAGCATGTCCGCTGAGGCCGAGACCAGCCAGGACCCCTCACCCCGGGTGTGTCCGAGACGCCCACACAGGGCAGCGCCCGCTGGCGGTGGGGCCCGGAACTGCGTCCACTCAGGAGGGCGAGCGAGCGTCTTTAAACCGCCCAGTGCGAGGGTACCAACATGGGAGGAGGAGCGTGAACCTGGCCAAGAACGAGCCGCTGGAGGACCAGCCTTCGCGGCGGCAGGCTCCATGGGGTCCCCGTGATGTGGCCACTCCTGCCCTCACGCTGGCCCACAGCCCACCACGGCCCAGGCACCGGCGTGCTGGGGGGGGGGGTGTTGGGGTGGGTGGGCAGGAGCCACTGATGGGCTGCGACCCGAGTGCCAGGGCGCGGTGGCCTCACGGGGCCGCACAGACGGCTGTCAGAGCTCCTGACGCCTGTGGCCTCGCAGGCCGGTCCACAAGAGTGAACCTTTTCCTGTGCCTGCTGGGCGAAGGGGGAACAAAATGCCTGGTGGCCACGCCAAGGGCCTCTGACCCGAAGCCTCTGACGGAGGCCAGCACAGGCCCCTTGTCCCAGAGGCACAGGGGACCTGCAGGCGGTTCAGAGTGGCCTCTTGGGTGTGAGACACGAGGGCTGAGCACCCCGGCATGGCTGAGTAACCCCGGGACGCCTGTTCAAGCAGCCAGGTTACTCCGCTACCCCAGGAACTTTGAAGGACGCCTCAAAACCGGCACGACGAGAGACGAAAAAATGCACAAAATGACAAAGACAAAACACGACATAAAGCAGCAGCACAGGGCTGCTCAG